TACAGTACAGACCCCACACAGCCCGAGCAGGACGCTTCACTCAACGAGCTCGGTGGGGACTACACCTCGGCATCGCCAAACATTTTCACGCATGGAAAATCCTCGACATACAAGACAAAAATACCGTGGCATCACGTGATGTTATCTTCTACGAGCGACTGACGCTGCAGCATTACCTGGACAACATTGCCAACACACACGACCCCACCGACGGCTCGCGGGCCTTCGTTCCTTCGCCGACCGTGCTGCCGAGGCTGACGCAGCAGAAGAAGACGTACCTGGAGCCTCGGAAGCTGCCGGACCACTCCCTTTCTGTTCCGTACCTGTTCCACTCGACGAAGACAATCCCTCGATAGCAACAACCTCGACACCTTTACCACTTCGCTGACCAAGGTTACGCTACACCTCACCCGTCGACACGAATATCTCAGAACGCATCGGCCCCAACTTCTTACCTGATCCAGAAGATGGTGACGAAGCAGCCTATTCCGGGAATGAAAATTCCCTCGACACACACCCACGGGACTGCAAATCCTCGGCTTATGGGTCTCCGTCCAGCACCCGCCGCCGCCATCTCCGCGTGAGCCAACGACTCTGTCGCAGGCTCTGGGGGGAGAACATAAGGCGAAATGGAAGGAGGCAATGGAAAAGGAACTGAAAGCTCTGCAAGACCGAAATGCATGGAAGCTGGTACCTGCAACGAACGTCAACGGGAAGAACGTTCTCTCGGGAAAATGGGTGTACCGCATCAAGACCAATGCGGACGGCTCCATCGAACGATTCAAGGCTCGCTGGGTCGTACGAGGATTTGACCAACGATACGGAACCGACTACACAGAAACATTCGCCCAGTCTCTCGTCACACCTCCTTGCGCATCCTACTCGCCGTCGGGCCACAAAGAAACTACCACTGCGCCAGATCGACGTCGCAAATGCCTTCCTGTACGCACCTGTGGACGCCGAAATCTTCGTCGAGCAGCCCCACGTATTCATCGACGACCCCAAAAAGTATGCCAGCTGATAAAATCCCTTTACGGGATCAAGCAAGCCCCGCGGCTCTGGCAGCAGCACCTTCACGGTCGCCTCGTCAGAATCGGATTCCTACAACTGCCGCATGACCAAGGCATGTACCGACGGCAGAAGGGAAGAGAGTATATCCTACTCATCGTTTACGTCGACGACCTGCTCTACATCGGTTCCACTACCGACATCGCCACCTGGTTCGAAGGGGAACTGAAAGAGGACTTGACATTCACGGTGTCCGACACAGTGACCCAGTATCTGGGTCTGAATGTCGTCGAAGACAACTCGGCGTTCTACCTATACGCTGGAAAGTACGCAGGCGTTGTGACAAAGAAGTTCGGACTAACACCAACTACAGTCGCGACTCCCTACCGCTACGGGAACAACAACGACACCTCCGCAAAACTCCCCGCGAAGCAAATCCGGGAGTATCACAGAAGCTCGGCTGCCTACTATTCGCAGCAGTAACCTGCCGACCTGACTATCCTACAGCACAAGCCAGCTGGCGACGCATCTGAAGCAGCCGGAACAAGAAGATCTCGAAGAACTAAACCGGGCACTACTCTACTTCGTCTCTACGCCGACGATCGGACTTACCTACTGCAAAGTAACAATACCATCCGTACAACTACTCGGATACGTCGACGCCGACCACACGGGAGACAGGGAAAATCGACGATCGAGAACGGGCTACATCTACCGACTAGAACCTATCGGGACGATCTCGTGGCAGTCGAGCAAACAGGAACTAATCGCACTATCTTCGGCTGAAGCAGAATATATCGCCCTCTGTACTGCGACCAAGGAAGGACTCTACCTGCGAGAGTTGCTCGAGGAAGCGAAGATTGCGACCCTGCCCGTCTTCTCACTCCTCTGCGACAACCAATCTGCGATAAAAATCGCGAACAAGGACGGCTTCGCCAACCGAACCAAGCACATTGCCCTGCGGTACTTTTTCGTCAAAGATGAAATCGCGAAGGGGAGACTTCAACTCAGTTACTGCCCGACAACAGAAATGGCCGCAGACTACATGACGAAGAACTGGCGAAGCCAAGTTCGACTACTGCATGCTGCTGACCGGGCAGACAAACGTCACCAGATCTGAAACACGTCAGCACTCCAGAAACGAAGGGGAGTGTTGGAAATATCTCAATAGCGTTTCTGAAGTGTAACACCACACTCGAGGAAGATTGTAACGAGTACGCGAGTCAACGGAGGTTACACGAGGGGATGGACGAAGAACACGAAAGGACTCGAAGGGTCGCAACCGGAGGTTGCGACTGACCGTTACAACTGCAAGAATGGTAACTGAAGCGACAATCGAGTCGCTGTGCGACTCGATTACCGCCATTCAACAGTATTCTACAACTGCTTGTTTTCTACTTTCTATATATTGCTGTATGCTTGTTCACTTAATCAATCACTTGTTCTCATATACTAGTACAAGGGTTCAACTCAACTACTCAACTTCCGCTGCACTACTCAAGTCTCACTTTCAACTGGGACTTAGTCTCTGGAAAGATCCTAAGGGCTTTTATCAGCCCAACAGTTTCCACCTGCCTACCTTATTCCCATACACAATGCACAAGCTGTGAATTTACCCTAAACCCAAGGCCACTTAATTCAGATCTACCAGCCCAACAAATGCGCCATGGTTTATTTACACGAAGCACAACGTAACACGGTCCTTGTCTCAAACACAATACAGCCACAAACATGGTCACGCGGACTAGAACGTCAATGGAGCTCGGAGGAGAGACCTTCAAAGTCGTCACACTGCAGGTGCGGTGCGGCTGCCAACATTGTGCAGTGCAGCTCAAACCCAACGGTATGTACCTGAGGAGGGGGGGTTGGGATGGAGAGTGGAGGAGAAGAGCATCTGCAAGCAAAGAAGGCAAACCCTGTAGTTTACATGCATGCATGCATGTACAGGGGGCTGCTTTCGCATGCCTGTAGGGAGGATGGAGCGCCCGAAAGGTGTAGGGCGAGATCTGATACAAGGCGCTGACATTGTTGTGCCGATATGGTCAGGTATAGGGCCAGAGGTGGGTATGCCCGTAACCAAGTCGAGTTTGACTCGACTCGGGTCGAGTCAAGCCCTGACTCGGGCGAGTCACTCTGACTCGCCCCCAATGTCCGAGTCACGAGTCAGAAACTTGGCGAAACCGACTCGGGTCCGACTTGACTCGGTTTTAGCTCGACTCGGTTCCGACTCGGGCGAGTCGAGGCTCGACTCGCCCTTTGCTCATGCCTAACTGGCGGACAGGCACGGGTGAAGCTGCTGCCCCTCGCACTGCTCTACCCAAAACAGACGACCCACTGTCTCCCCCTTCTTCACATCCGCACCCCCCTCCCTCCCCTCCCCCCACGTTCCCCAGCCATGCCCCTGGCTGCTTGCACCTGCCCTCCTCCCGAAAGCCCTGCCCGCCCCTCCCCTTCGTGGCAGCTCGTCTACCAGCAGCGCTGCAAGGGTGGGGTGCAGCAGGGAGTGGTAGACGTGGTGCGGCCAGCACGAGTGGGTGGGCTTGTGGGACGAAGGGAGGGGAGGGAAAGGGTGGAGGAGAAGGGAGGTGAAGAGGTGGTGAAGAGGCGTGGCAGCGTGGGATGCGAGGATGGCGGATTGAGAGTGAAAGAGCGTGGTGGCAGGGAGAAGGGCGAGCAAATGCTCGATGAGGGGGAGGAGGGTGAGGAGAGGGGAGAGTGGAGATGGTGGCGGACGTGCTGTGACCGGGAGCTCACACACAGCAGGGGCACGGGCAGGGGAGTTTAGTTTGGAAGCACGCAGAACCTGCATGGGTCCAAGCACAGGATGTTGAGGAAAAAGAAGAGTGGGTTACGGTGTACTGGTAGAAGAGCACACACATCCACGAAGAGCAGAGTTGGTGGTCAGTGCATACTCTGTGATGTAGACAACATGCTCTAGCTTCAATAAATCATGCTGTAACAGCAGGGCCGCCCTGTGTGATGACCTAATGCACTGGCCGTTGTTCATTGGCAAGCATCGAGCATGGCGCAGGCCTACCTGCTGCATGCAGGTGAGGAGCTCAGATGAGCAGCTCACAGCTCCACTGCGCGCCACTTGCTGTGATTCCCTTAACCTCTTCTCATGCTCTCTCTCCCACACACACATCACCATTTCCACAGCCTTCGTCCCCTCCATCTCCCCACTCCCCCCCGTGCTCGCCAGCCTCCGCACCTCCCCCCTCTTCACCCATGGCAGTGCCACGTCATCCACCTGGCAGTGGGACGAGAGCAGGTGGCGGTGGAAGGAGGCAGAGAGGAGGGCGAAGGAGGCTTGCAGGCGGGGAAGGTGCGAGTCGGCAGCGGGCATGGCGCGGCGGTGGAGGTGGCGTGGAGAGGAGAGGAGCGCGGAGAGGCGGGACAACCAACGGTAGCACCAGAGAGCCAACTTGTGCTGCAGAGCGGTGATGGGCGGCGGAGGGGAGATGGATGCCACATGACATGCCAACAATAATGCTGCTGTGGCGTCACAACTGGCTGGCACTGAAGGTGATGCAGGAGAGGCACTGCTTGGCGTTGCAGCCAGTGGAGAGCACATGTCCTGCTCGCTGCTCAGGCTGGTGTGGAGCTCCTCCAGCCAGGCAGTGAGGTGCTGCTGGGCGCGCTGCAACATGCGCACAGACACCTGCAGACCCGCATATGCCAGCATCAGCTCTGATCGCAGCTGCTCCGCCCCCTTCCACTCCCACCCCTCGGCCTGCATACACATGCCCCCCGCCATGCCCCTCTTTTCCTCGTGCACGGGCAGGCACGGACAGGCACGGACAGGCACGGACAGGCATGGACAGGCACGGACAGGCACGGACAGGCATGGACAGGCATGGACAGGCATGGACAGGCATGGACAGCATGGACAGGCACGGACAGGCATGGAAATGCATGGGCATGTGATGGAGTAGGCATGGGCATGCAATGAGGCAGGCACGCTGAGGTTATGGAGACAAAACGAAGGGGATGATAGCGATGGCGCATGCAGACACAGAGGGGAGCGCGCACCCAAAGCAAGCCACATGCAGCACCTGCACCATGGTGGCAGCTGCCTCACACGGATGCTGGGCACATGCCTTCATGGGTCGCGCTGAATGACGCCACGCACAGAGCTGCAATAGCATGGAAGCGTGAGCATACGGCACGGCACGTACCTGGTTGGGGCCAGAGCGAGTGCACGTCGCCGGAGGTGGGTTGAGAGGGCGGTGCGCACACGGCTGTGATCAGCGCCAAGTCACATGAGCCAGGTCAGTGGGGAGGAGGCTCGGCAGCCCCGCCACCACCACCCGCACCTCCACCGCCCCGCCTGCGCCTGTTGCGGCCACCTGCTGCCGCCCTGCTGCCTCTGCAGCCGGCTCCACGCCCTCTCTGCCGCCTGCTGCTGCTCCCGCGTTGGCACCACCACCACCACTCGACGAGGCGGATGGAAGGCGTGAAGCGGCAGCAGCCGCTCCAGCTGCTGCTGCCACTGTGCTGCCGGGCGCTCACTGCCTGCAGGGAGAGCGCAGAGAAGAGATGAGTCCATGGAGGTGCAACACGGGGAGGGCAAAGGAAAGTTACATCGCTTGGCGGCAATATAGACGCGGGCGGTTCAACACCCAGCGCTGGAGGGCGATGGCTACTTACCGCCACACAGGCGCGTGACGAGCGCGAGAGCCGCCACCACCTCCACCGTGTTCTTCCGCCCCCGCCCCGCCTCCTCCTCCGCCGCTCCCCTCGTTCCCGCGCTCCAACGCTCCCCAGCGTGCGCGCAGTCCTCCCGGCCTTCCACCGCCAGGAACGCGCACCTCCCCACCCACCCCTCCACGTCCGCACCGCTGCCGCCGCTGCCCACTTGCGCCATGACGACGAGAGGTGAAGGGGAAAAACAGTCTTAACCAGAGCCTCGCAACCGCTAGGATAGCCCGTCTTAAGCGGCCGCATACGTTAGCTGGAAGGGCGAAGGGACGACTTCGCGGGGGAGTTGCTGGAGGCTCGGAGAGAGACACGGCTGTCGCAAGCAGTGAGAAACGACGGTCGGCACCGGCTGTACTGACGCCCACTGTTCAGCGAGACGGGACGAAAATATGCAATGGAATTCGTGCAAGGGTATGAATGGGCGCGGCGGCAGACGACCGTAGAGCGACGAGGCTGTTGGTTTGTACCGCGACTCCGGAGGGTCGTGCATGCACCAGCACCGCGACATCGGGCCTCGCCGCGAACGAGCTGTGTGAGTGCTTATGGCGCGCTCCGCGCGATTGACGACAGAGAGACGGGGAGGGGGCATTTTGCTGGGCCGACACAAGCGCATGTGTATGTCGGATAAGGAGCGGCATGAGCGAAGGAAGAAGATGGTGAAGGCAGAGCAAAGCCCACGCTTTCCTCACGCCTGGCGTACTCGCTTAAAGAAGCCTCGCCTACATTTGCCTAGCTGTTTGCAACAGAAAATACTTGCAAATCCAGCGAGAGATATATACACCTTTCGCCAAAGGCATAAAATATTGCTACACTTGTTCCTGATTTATGTCCCCATCGGAAGAGTCCAAATTGCAATCACACCTAAGCATATCATAAGAGCACATCCGGACAATTTGTACCGAGGACAGGCAGCAAACTAGAATCATGGAAAACTGGTACCTAGTCCAGCGTCCCTTTACGCGAATCACTGCCTTGATCCTCCTCGGCATACTGTCGATGAGGTTTGAACACACCTCCGCCGGTATCTTGTCCCATTCCTCCTGCACTCTCTCCCACAGCTCCAGCATTCCACTAGGTGGTTTTTCGTACATCGCCAGCTGCCTTTTCAAGTGTGCCCATAGGTGCTCTATCGGGTTAAGGTCCGGGGAGGACGAGGGCCATTCCAGCACCGCGTACTCCTGCTCCCCGAGCCAGTCTTGCACCAGACGGGACTTGTGCTTGGGATCATTGTCGTGCTAGAAAATGACCTCTGAGGGGGGGAGCTTGAAAAAATCGATGGTCTGTGAGAGCTCATCTTGCAAGATGCTGCGATACAGCGGCCCATCCATCCTGCCATCTATCTTGCACATGAACCCCGCCCCCTCAGACGTCAAGCAACCCCACACCATCACAGAGCCGCCCCCATGCTTAACTGTCTGTTGGACTTGATGGCTCTAGAGGCTGGTGCCCTTGCGAATCCAGGCGTACGCACGTCCGTCGGAGCAAAAACGGTTTATCTCAGTCTCATCAGACCAAATCACCGCTTCCAATCCTCCAGCGTCCAGTCGGCATGCGACCTCGTGAAATCGAGCCGATCACGTATGTTTTTCGGTGAGAGCCTGGGTTTCTTGGGCTGCTGCACAGCGATCAAGCCCGCGGATCGTAACGAGTTCCTGACTGTCTTCGAGTCTACAGCCAGAGCGTGCTTCTCCTCTAACATCTTTGCGGCATCTACACTGCTTTTCGCCTCCCCGCTTTTAATCGCTCGAACTATTCTACGTTGGAGTCGGGTAATGATTAAGCGAGGGCGTCCGGCCGTGGGTATCGTGGGTCGCACCTCATCGCGACTAGTCTCGGCAATCACCTTCAGACCGTAATCGTGCACGGTGCTCTTGCCAATGCCAAGAACTTTGGCTATTTTCCTAGTCGAATGCCCTTAGCACAACATGCTTATGATTCGCGCGCGCTTCTTGTCATCTACCGGCTTCATCGCGATGCGGTCGTAGGTCCGCTTCATGACTAACTCCTAGACTAGCAGCTGTTGCGCGAGACGATGTGCACACTGAGTGATGGGCGAAAATAGATCTAGAACGTCGCGCGGTATGAACTGTCCGAATCGACAGCCGAGGAGTAAATCTCAACCCCGCTTTTCGGTTTTGTCATAATCGCGCCAAGCAGGATACGGCTGAAGCAGAACTCGACCTTGGAACAGAACGGAAAAAAATGGTCTCACTATTTTCGAAACAAGTGTGGCATAGCGATAAGTTTCGAAGTGCTAAACATCCGGGCAATTTTTTCCGCCACTGTACCTAGCTCTTGTAACATGGTAATAGAGCAGGTTCCCCTTCCCGGGCCTGCTCCCCACGCTTCTGGCGCGCACTCCTTCACTCCCTCTCGCGTTGCCATGGCGGCCGCGTCGTGCTGCTGTTGCGGCGTCGTCGTGCCGCGGCCGTCTCGACGTGCTGCCGTGGCGTTGCGCCGTCGTGGCGTCGACGTCCAGCCGTGGCGGCGTCGTCGACGTCCAGCCGTGGCGGCGTGACAGCGCCTTCGTGCTGCCGTCGCAGCGCCGACGTCCTGCCATGGCATCAACGGTGCACTGTGGCGGCGTCCTAATGATGCCGTGGCGGCGCCGTCGGGCTGCAGCCGGCCGCGCAACTCCTGTAGCGCCGCTCGACTTGATGCCCGCACGCCAGCCACGGGCGTGATTCTGGACCACGCCCCGCCCTCCCCACCCCCCCCCTCCTTCCCCTGCATCCCTTCTTCCTTGCCACAGCCGTTGACTACCTCGTGCATGCATTCCCACAGCTGATGAGATTGGCCATGCCGCCAAGAGGGCGGGGGCCGCTGCAGCCGCCTCTGACGTTGAAGCCGCCGCCGCCGCCGCTGTTGCCGCTGGCCAGTTGCCGCCGCACACCTCCGCCGTCGCTCTCATTACTGCTGTGCGTGCTGCCATTGCCATATCCTGTGCCGTGGGTGTTGACCGATTCCAGAGTCATCGCGGCTGCTGCTGGGAATGGGAGGGCTAGGTTAGGGGGTGTGGGTGTGTGTGGGCTTGTTACTACCAAGCCTACGGGGTGTATTAAATTATATATGTTATATAATTGTTGGCTTGGTAGGCGTTACTGAAACTTACTATAGAGGGTACAACACCCCTCCTTGTATCCGTCTCTCTTCTATTCTCGATCTCTTTTCTCTCATCAAATTTCTCCTAGCTAAACCCTCACGCCATTTCATGGCTTCCTACCGTTCCTAGCTACCTAGCTATCGTGACAACATCTTGTATTGGAAATGTCCGAAATGATAGGGATAATAATAATGAGTAATACAGACATATTTATAGGTTATGAAGTACTTATTCGGAATGTATCTGTTCGTAGTGTATCGCAACTATTCGCGTGGCATGACTAACTCTTAAAGATAGAGTCCTTCGCGAACAGCAGAGCTTATTGTGACAAATTCTGCTTCAACTGACGAAAGTGCGATAACCTCTTGTTTCGTTGAGTTCCAAGAAATGTTACCATCTGATTCAAGTTTGAAAACGAGCCCTGTACGCGAACGCCTGTTGTCGGGGTCAACAGCGTGATCCGCATCCACGTATCCATTCAGTCGAAAATTTGCTGCAGTGTTTGCCGTGTAGCTGAGACCGATTGTAGGAGTAGAAATGAAATTTTGGAGGGCTCGACGAAGATCAGCCATATTCTCCCCTTCAGGTCGGCGCAGGTGCTGTGCGAGCTGACTCATGATGTAGGCGAGATCTGGGCTGCATGTAATGTTTTTCGCAAGTTTTTCTGCGTACTTGCTTGCAGAAAGGTAGATGGCATCAGGGCCGTAGTCGACGTTTAATCCAAGAAATTAGGTGACGTTGGAGGAAATAGTAACTTCAAGAATCATTTGAATTCTTTTCTCCATGCGCGCCATAAGATTGTTGCACGAGCCGTTGTACAACAAGTCGTCCACGTAGGCAACTAGAAGAATGTTATGCCCTCGAAATTTGAGTCTGTACATTACAGGATCATGGGGCAACTGCACGAAGTCGAGTGAAATCAACATTTTGTGAAGATGCTTCTGCCATAGGCGAGGAGCCTTTTTTATGTCGTTGAGCGATTTAAGTAACTTGCAGATGTGCAGTCCATCGCCGTAAGTGTGAGGGAGTTCGACGTAAATATCTGCATCAACGTCTGCGTATAAAAAACATATTTTTTATGTCTAGTTGGCGAAGTGGCTGATGGCGGCAAGCAACAATAGCGAGAAGAATTGGAACTGAGGTATGGCGGCTGACCGGAGCAAAAGTCTGGTCGTAATCGATGCCATGGATTTGTTCGAAACCTTGAACAATCCATCTCCCCTTGAATCTATCTGGTTCGCCTACTGCGTTTGCCTTTATGCGAAAGACATACTTGCCCAAAAGATTTTTCTTGCAGCGTGCTGCTTCGCGTGGAACAAGTTTCCACGTTTTCCGCTTCTCGAGAGCTGCTATCTCTGCATCCATAGCTGCTCGCCACTTGTCAGCATCAGAGCCGGAGAGGGCATGCTTGATTGTTTTCGGCTCGATCCCGGTCGTTGGTTGTTGAACTGCAACAAGAAGTCCGAGGATCTAAAGAGCCGATTGGTCACCTCGAGGATGAGGCTGGTAAACTTCGACGACGTCATCATCATTAATTTTCGATGGCAGATGGCGAGCACCGTCATGCAATGCTGCGTCAGTTTTCTGTCGGCGCAGGTGCTCCTCATAATTATAGGCAGCCTCTGCCATGGTAGGATGCAATGGGTCCGAGAGTGGAAGAAAGAGAGGGGTGTCTGTTTTGTTGGCACGTGTCGAGTGAATATAGGAATCAAGCAATTGTTCGGCTACTGACGTAGACGGCTGCGGAACTGTAGAATGTCCTGCTGCTGAGTTGTCGAGCGGATAATATTCTTCAGCTGCATCTGCTTCGTCTTGAGGAGTGGCGAAACTCCGTTAGGCACTGTAGCGATCATTGTCACAGGATCGAATGTGTCGAGGAAAGGTTGCACTATCGATCAGTACAAGGCGCTTTTATACTTCCAAAGTACATCAGGTAACCAGGTTTATCTTATCCTAAGGGAATAGGCCCTTCTAGAAGATAGAATCACCCTGCGTATAGCCTTGCGAGGCTATTGGCTTTAAGGGATTACGGCAGGATTACGCTAGATATAGCGCACCAGTACATCCCAAGCCTGGTCGGTGATATAACTAGAATAGCAGGATAAACCAAAGGTTAATGGAAAATGAAAAATAGGAAACCAAATGAGATGAGATAAAGAGAAATGAACGAGGAAGGAAATAAGAAAAGGGACAAGTGGTGTAACGAGGTCGTACTCTCACACTTCCCCCCCTCAAAGCTGGGGGTAGAAGTAACACCCTGCTTGACAAGGTAGTCATGAGGGCGACGGGCGTTACCCAAGTCGGACGCAGGGACCCAGTTGTCCTCAGAAGGATCATAACCCTTCCAACGGATGAGAAGCTCCATGGTGCCATTCTGACGTCGGCGGTGTGCTAGCACGGACTCGACCTCGTACTCGGGTTCATTGTGGACGAGGACGGGCGGCGGCAGCGGCGGTTGGCATCCGACGAAGATCGTGTTCGGATCCCGGTAGGGCTTCAGAAGCTGAACATGGAAGGCGTTGTGAATCTTCCAGGTAGCTGGCAGGCGTAAGCGGAAGGTAACAGGAGTGACCTGTGCTTCAACGAGAAAAGGCCCGCAGAAGCGAGGTCGAAGTTTAGATGGGAGGTGGCTGATGTCCAGGTTGCGGGTGTCAAGAAGCACCTGGTCTCCCACCGTGATGGTGTGGTCGTTGCGATGGTGATCGGCCTGGCGCCTTTGATGCTGTTGAATGTCGAGGAGGCGCTTATGGGTCTGATCCCAAAGCCGATGCATGGTTGTGATGAAATCATGTGCAGGTTGTACCGTAGCGGATGTTGTCGGTTTTCTGTGGTGTGAGTGGGTGGCGTCCGTAGCAGAGGAAGAACGGCGTCTGTCCAGTAGCGGCATGCGTAGCATTGTTGTAAGCAAACTCTAGTACGGGCAGGTGCAAGTCCCATTTGGAGATGTCGTCCTTGCAGGCTGCTCAGAGGAGTTGCTCAACAATTTGGTTGAGGCGCTCGGTCTGTCCGTCTGTCTGCGGATGGTATGCGGATGACATGGCGAGTTTGGTCCCGAGAAGAGACATAAGTTCCTTCCAGAACTTGCTGGTGAACTTGGGGTCTCGGTCGGAAATGAGTGTGGTTGGGATGCCATGCTGTGAGATGATGTGACGAACGAAGAGCTGTGCTGTCTCCTCGGTGCGTGCCGTCGTGTGTGTCGGAATGAAGTGTCCCATTTTGGAGAACTTGTCAATGATGACAAGGATTGCGTCATGACTGCTGGTGGTAGGTGGTAACCCGGTGATGAAGTCTAGGCTGACCACTTGCCATGGCTGTTCTGGGACAGGAAGAGGCTGCAGTAGTCCCGCCTTTTTCTGCTTGCTGCTCTTCATCCGCTGACATGTATCACACGAGGTGACGAATTTCTGGACGTCGTCTGCCATATGGGGCCAGTAGTAGTGTTTGGCGATACCGGTGAGCGTCTTGTTGCTACCGAAGTGTCCGGCGTACAGGACGTCGTGGTATTCTTCGAGTAGTAACTAGCGCAAAGGAGGGTAATTGGGTACCCAAATTTTTGTTGATCCTTTCCGGTACGCGATGTCACTGTCCCACTTTAGCAGATGTCGCTTTTCTGCCAAGGGAATTTCGGGGTCGATGGCGTACCCGTGTGCGAAGAGTCCCTTGAGTAGTGGATTCATCCCTTCAATCTGAATGGCGGCAACGTGTGCAGGCCGGCTGAGAGCGTCTGCTTTGTTTTTGTGGCCGGGCTTGTACACGATGTTGTAGTGGAAGCGTGTCTCGAGGAAGTCGATCCACTGGACCTGCCGCCTGGAAAGATTGGGTTGTGTCTTCAAGTATTTCAGGCTGCAGTGGTCGGTGTAGACGGTTGTTCTTCGTCCTTCGAGATAACATATCCACGCTTTAAAGGCGATGACGATGGCAAGGGCCTCTTTGTCGTGTATCGGGTAGTTTAGTTCTGCTCCGTGTAGTTTCTTGCTGAGGTAGGCGATTGGTTGCAGTCCATTCCCCTGGTCTTGCATTAAGACTGCCCCCACTGCCTGGTCGCTGGCGTCAGCTTCGATTACGTAGTCGCGTTCGGGATCTGGCAAGATGAGTACCGGTGCGGACGTGAGTGCTTGTTTCAGCTGCTCCACGGCTTCCTGGTGCTTTGGTTCCCATTTATAGGGCGTGTTCTTCTTCAGCAGATTCGTGAGTGGTGCTGCGATTTTCGCATATTGTGGCACAAACCTGTTGTAGTAATTAGCGAAGCCTAGGAACTGGTGCAACTCCTTCACGTTCTCGGGTGTCTTCTACGTGCGTACGGCCTCGATTTTCTTGGGGTCGACGTGAACTCCTTGAGCGCTCACCATGTGCCCTAGGAATTGGACCTTTTCAAGGGCGAATTCGCTCTTGGACAGTTTGACGTAGAATCGTTCCCAACGAAGAATTTCGAAGACGCGTCGCAGGTGTTCGACGTGCTGCTTCATGTCGCGCGAGTAGATGAGTATGTCGTCCAGGTACACCACCACGCATTCGTCCAGAAGTGGTCGTAGAATGTGGTTCATTTCGGCTTGGAATGTTGCCGGCGCGTTGGTGAGTCCGTACGGCATTACCAAATACTCGTACGATCCGTACCGAGTTCGAAAAGCAGTTTTGTGGATAGAGTTGTCCGCCATCCGTATCTGCCAGTATCCGGACCGTAGATCCAGTTTGGAAAATACCGTAGCTCCTCGAAGCTGGTCAAGCAGGTCATCGATTCGCGGTATCGGATATTTATTCTTGATGGTCTGCTTGTTAAGAGCTCGGTAGTCGATGCACATGCGCAGGCTTCCGTCTGGTTTCGGTGTGAAGAGTACTGGAGCACCGTACGGCGAAGTGGATGGCCGGATGAGTCCTTTGGCTAGGAGATACTCGATCTGTTTTTTCATGTCAGTCAGCTCCGTAGGGCTGAGCCGGTATGGTGCTCGGAAGGTCGGCTTCGAACCCGGTTCCTCCACGATCTCGTGTTGATGCGTTCGGTATGGCGGTAGCTCGTTCGGAAGATCGTCAGGAAGAATGTCTTGGAACTCCTTCAGTAATTCCTTGATTTTTTATGGAGTTTCCGAGGCTTTCTCTCCGTCATTCTCCACCTCTGTTGCTATCGCCAGGAACCCGGTGTCGGTCCGCTTCACGTCCTTCTCGAATCGTGCGAGTGTCTCCACTGGGATATCTCCAGTATCGTCCCAGTTGGGTAGCTGTACTCTCCGTCCATTGTTGTAGATGCTTGCGGTGCGGTTTACCCAGTTGATCTCGGGGTTGAATCTTTTCAGGAAGTCTCACCCGAAGATCAAGTCAAGCCCTTTGATGTTGGTGATGGGGAGTGCAGGTCTCCAGCGCAGTGGTCCGATTTGTAGGTGTAGCACTGCTTCGTCGTATACTAGTAACTTGCTGCCATCCACCATCGTTGCAGAGAATCCTGAAGGCTTGTACTCTTCCCGTAGTCGGTCGATTACTGCCTTGTTGCAGACGGTGTGTGACGCTCCGCTGTCCACGAGTGCTTGGAGGCGTCGTCCTTTGCAGATGACCTCGAGCACGAGGGGCAGTCGTTGCTCGAAGTACCCAAAGATAGTTTCATTGACTGGGTCATAGGGTACATCCCAATACTCCGTACACACATGTGTGTTGCTATCTATTCCTGAGCTGGCAGCTGGCCGAGGCTGCTTGGAGAACGGCTCTTCTCCAGGGCCCGGAGTTTCCCTGACGAGTGTGCGTATCACTGATGCCGAAAAACAGGATGCATCCGTAGGAGGAGTTCGGGGTTTGTGCAGCTTCTTGTAGACCCCCAGCTTCCTCTTGAGCTGCTTCAGCTCCACCGACGTCTTCCCTGGGGAACGGGTAGTCGTTGTGGGCTGGTGTCGGGAGAGGACGTTGACTCCGTGGAAAGGTCGGCTTCTTTCCACACTCCTTAATTTGGTCCCCAGGTTTTCCGGTATCGGTATAATCTCCACAGCTGTCTGCTTCTTTTGGAGTCCCTCCCAAAATTTCTCCAAGGCTCTAGCCCCTCGAACATCATAAGCTTTCATTAAAGCATCTTTATAAGATAACTTTAACGAATTCTTATAATTTCTTGGGTCTTCAAGGAGTTTCCCTGTCTCGGCAGAGTCTTTTTTCGCGGAGTCGTATTTTTCCTCGGCGATTTTCCCTGGCGAAGACTGGTCGTGGGGTGGAGATTTTCCCCCATCATTTCCTCCTTCTCGCGTCGAATCAGCTTCGTCGAAGTTGATTTTTCCGGAATCCCGCGGCCGTTTTCGGATCTTTTTATTTTCGCCAGCTAGATCCGCAATCACTGGCGACTCCCGTTTTTTTACTTTGATTGGCTGAAGGAATTCCGCCACTGTTGCGTGCCCGATACTCTGCGCGTGTGGTCTTCATTTTGCTGCAATCGAAGATTCGATGACCCGGCACCCCGCAAAAATCACACGTGTAGTTGGTGTTTTTCGGACGTGGCTGCCCCTCGAATCTGTTGACTTCCATCGGGTCGGCGAACGTGGGGTGAGCCGAGCGGTCGCCCTGTCGCATACTGCCGACGCGCGTCCGTCGTGTTCCGGCGTTGACCATGTCGAAGCACTCCGCTGCCGAAACGACGTCACTGTAGCTCGCGTAGTTTGACGCTGCCACTTGTCGTTTGACTTCGGTCTTCAGCCCGGCGAGGTACGATTGTACTTTTCCCCCTTCGGTCAGGTCGGGAATGCGGTTATATAATTCCTCCATTTGCTGCGTGTACTGCGCTACACTCCCGAACTGTCGGTGTCGATGAATTTTTTCCCGGGCAAGGAAACTGGAATTTATCGGCTCGAAGCGTTTCAGCAGGTCGGCGCGGAACTGCTGCCACGTGGCTTCACCGTGGATGAAAGTACTGTTGCCGCCAATCCACTCGAGTGCCGGCCCTCGCATCAGTGTCGCCGCGAGTCGTACACGTTGTCCGTCCCAGACCGGCGAGCTCCATCCGACGGCTGCGAAGTAGATCTCCATCCCGGCGATCCATCTGCGGGCGTCGGAGTTTCGATCGCTCGGATCAAATGGCTCAGGTGGGCGCGGTTTCGGAGCCTCGAGAAACTGCTGCGACTGCTGCGTCGTCGCCGTTGTCGTCTCGTGCTGCGCTCCGGCGAGTCGAGTTACTCGCTCGAACTGGTTTCGCCATGCTTCGCGATCCGCTCGCATTTCCTCCTGAAGGGCTGCGATGCGCGCGAAGAGCTGCTGGGTAACCTCGGCGTTGTCGAAGGTTGCCATCCTGTTCAAAACACGCACGGAGGGGGTAATTCGAAAATCGCGGAGCTGGTGCTTACCAGAATCGGCGTCGAATTGGTCGCCCCCGGCGGTTTTTCGAGGCAGGATTCCCGCTGCTGCTGCTTAGCTGAGCGCGGTCGAGTGAGAAAAGCTCTGATTACCAAGTGTCACAGGATCGAATGTGTCGAGGAAAGGTTGCACTATCGATCAGTACAAGGCGCTTTTATACTTCCAAAGTACATCAGGTAACCAGGTTTATCTTATCCTAAGGGAATAGGCCCTTCTAGAAGATAGAATCACCCTGCGTATAGCCACGCGAGGCTATTGGCTTTAAGGGATTACGGCAGGATTACGCTAGATATAGCACACCAGTACATCCCAAGCCTGGTCGGTGATATAAATAGAATAGCAGGATAAACCAAAGGTTAATGGAAAATGGAAAATAGGAAACCAAATAAGATGAGATAAAGAGAAATGAACGAGGAAGGAAATAAGAAAAGGGACAAGTGGTGTAACGGGGTCGTACTATCACAATCATGATCCCGCTGCTGGCATTCCTTGTCGCGTTCGAAGTCATCGAGAAAAAGTTTATTGTAGAAGATGTAGTCTCGGGCATACAAAATATCTCAGGTTTCATAATCCATAATCATCCCGGAGTAGGAATCTTTAGGTACACCGAAGTGTATTCCCCATCCAACTCGTTCACTAAATCTTCCCAGAGTTGCGCTCGGAGGTTTGTATTGGACCATGCAACCCCAAACTCGTAAGAGTCGAGTGTCGGCGGGGTGTTTTGTCCACATGACATGTGGCGAGCTGAACTGAGGGAGAGTTGTTGAAGACAGGCAGTTGTGTAGTTTGACAGGTTGCGCCATCGCAAACGGCCAAAGTCTGCTGTCAAGCTGGACTGTTGCAGCAGCACACGCATCTTCTCTTGAAGCGTTATGTTAGTTCTCTCTGCTATTCCTTCTGCTGATGGGCGTTAGGCACGGTCTTGCGCCTGAGTATCCCTTTCCATGCTAGAAATTCATCAAACTGCTCCCTAGTGTACTCCCTAGTGTCTCTTTCAGCTTGATGCCTCTCTGCCGCTGCGCAATTTTCAGCCATCGCTTGAAGGCGTGAGAGCTTTGGACTTGTGAGAAATATTCTTGTGCCAGAAGTATCAAGTAGCACCGTCGATGAAGGTAATTATTTAGCGATAATCGTTGCCGCTGATATCCTCTGCTTCCTGTTGTATGAAGAGTGTGTGTGTGAGAGTATGATACCGTTACACCAATTTCCCCTTTCCATATTTCATATCCATTTTATCCCTCTTTTTATGCTGATTCACTTGGTCTTTATCTCATCTCTTTTGGTTTCTTATTCCTCATTTTCCATCATCCTTTGGTTTATACTGTTATTATAATTATATCACCGACCAGGCTCATGATGTACTGGCGCGCTATATCTAGCGTAATCCTGCCGTAATCTCTTAAAGCCAATAGCCTCGCGTGGCTATACGCTGGGTGATTCTACTACTAGAAGGGTCTATTCCCTTTGGATAGGATAAACCTGGTTACCTGATATACTATGGAAGTATAAAAGCACCTTGAACTGATTGATAGTGCAACATTGAGCAAACCTCATTCGATCCAGTAACAATGTGGTTGAAGATGACATGCATAGGTGAGTACTTAGTAGCACTCGGAAAGTGTGACGGGAATGGAGCGTGACTTAGGTGAGCTCCGAGGCAGATCGTGCAGGGCAGTTTACAACGCTAGGTCGAAGCTCTTGGCCATTGATTAAAAGGAGTGTGTCCTTGTCGAAAACCGAGGCTTTAATTGAGTTGTTGAGAGCTTCTTGCGAGGAATGACCTAACCGCTTGTGCTAGATTTCTGCTATAGTCTTGCGTCCCTTTGAACGCAGGTACAAGATGGAGTGAAGGAAGAAATCCGGCGAAAGCTTAATCATTGGCGCAGGGTTAACGCAGTGGCCGGTGCCGAAAGGCTGGATGAATCCGGCTTCTTCTGCAATTTCAGCCCAAGGAATGCCGAGGTGTCGGCGACGCGCCCGAGAATCAGGTACGATTAACTCTTTCTTGCCCCATGTGCGTTTAACCTTTAGGTTCTTGGACTGTAGCAGATGTTGGTTCTTGATTGTCGTAACCCCAGTTTCCATTTCCCGATGCCCATGTACTTTGAACCGTTTCTGCTGCTACTGATGCTACTTCTGTTGGCTCTGCTGCAGGTTCGTCGAGGGAGTTGGTGCGAGAAGGCTGAGGCGTGACACAGAAGACATTGAGACCACGATGGTCTTGGCGTTGGAGATCCGTTTCCCAGTGATGATGCCAACGAGCAAGTGAGACGTTCTTCTCACTATTGCCAGATGCTTTTACAGGTGAAAACTGTAAAACGAAAACGCCGTCTATAATTTCGGTGATGCCGACTAAATTGCTTTTGTCTTCCTTCTTCTCGCCCAGGTACAACTTCGTGAGCATCGTGTTGGCGGCGCTAACAAAACAAATGCCACTTTCCATCAGGCGCGCTTGTGATAGTAGGTTGAATTCGAGTCCCGTGGCGACAAGAACCTTGTTAAGGTGAAGTGAAACTTCGGTGTTGTCGGACTCTAGTATCACATCTCCAATTCTGGTTGCTTCAATAACCTGATTCTTAGCAATTGTGATGTTGTATTTATCTCCGTTTGGCAGGTCTCGCCAGTTGAGGTGATAGTCACTTGAAGACGCCATGTGGTGACCGCAGCAGCAGTCAAGAAACCAAGTGTTAACATGCTCAGGACATGCACGCTTGGCGATGTGGGCGTACGACTGCACGTTCAATCATCGAGGAAAATCGTTAGGTTGCTGTGGTTCTTCTTCATTAACGACTGCTGGTTCTAGAGTTTCTGAATAAGGGCAAAGACGTGGAGGAAGGTTGGCTGCTCCTTCTTCCATGTCACTGTCGCTGTCTTCATTGTCTCGTCGGCTCCAATAGCGTATACCACTAGACGAGTGTGGTCCAATCATGCAATTAATGATTGCCTTGCCTTTTGCAGGTTGAGTTGAAGAAGCTGAAGACGGCTGAAGAAGCTGACAGGGGCGGCTTCACCTGACTTCTCCCGATTCCTGTTCTTCAGTTTTCGACACTCTTCAATATAATGACCTGCTCGCTTGCAGAGTTTGCAGAAGCTCTTTGCTCCTTTTCTTGTCT